AACAAAGAAACAGCAAATGCAATCTGAAGTAAATTTTGATATGACGCTCTTGTATTTTTTTATCGCAATTAATATTTGCACCAGAGGTATTGTTTGAGCTTGAACGTTTCATATTGTGACCATTTAGGACTTGTATTTAAATGCGGGAGGTGTGACGGTGTCCTATTTTGAGAGGCTGAAGAGCATCAATCACATCAGTTTAAGACGTTTGACTCGGAAATACGAGAAGAAAGCAAATTTTTATCTTTTAGGTGAGCTTGTCTTTTCACTAAGAATACGTTTAATGATGGATCTTTATCATTCATTTTGTTTTCATAGATAAGAAATTTCACTATGAATATCAAGCGATTTAATAACATTTTCTTCACTATATAAAAGAGTACAATATGACTGAGAGCATGAATTGCAGTTTCCTTTCAACCTCGCATTCCAATCACGACCAATCTCTATCTCTTTTTTTCTTTTTTGAACTGCATAAGTTTTCTTCTTCTTTTTTACTTCATTAGCTACCAGAGACAGCTCACCTTCGTAGCCATTTTGCTTGTTAAACACTTTTGGTGACCTGTTTGTATTGCTTTAGGCAAACTCTCAGTGTTTCTGCATGTTTGTCTCTTCTTCGACAGGTAGCGTCCAAGAAAGCCTGTATCATCATTTCAAGGAAACCATTCGTTTAAAATCATCGCTTGCGTTCCTTCGAGAGATCGTTGTGAGCATTGCTTTTTATTTTCAGTTTATTAATACAAACCACAGGGGTGGATCTGGAGAATGTCCTGCAAAAAATTAGTTTTCGTCCCCCTGTCAGTTACGTCCTTCCTTAGTGGTACACTCCCCTCCTTAGAAAAATCCATATCCAAATTCTTGATCCTTCGCTACACCCAGCATAATTGATTGAGCAGTACGACTTTTGTTAAATTATTAAATAAATAAACCCGCCTTCTTCTAGATGTGACGTCGGCTGGAGGAACCACTTATCGATATTGTTACTCTTCCTCTTGTTGCTTATTTGGGGGGTGGTGCTTCATCGAGGGCAGCGCCTTAGCGAACAAACATGGTAGTTCAAGGTAATTTCGTCTCCAACTGGCTCGTTAACCAGACGTAAGATTCGTATCTGAAATGTAATGTAGACTTAATTCTCCTTTTAGGGAAGAAATGGGCGCATCTTTTTCTTTGACATTGTATTGAAGAAAAAAGTTTGTAACCCTCTTGTTATACCTTAGGGCGCGAATGAAAAAGACATTGTTCATTCTGGATTGGAGTTCACCTTAGAACGATCAGCTAAGGTACGTCTTCTGTCACGGATTCGAAGTTTCTTTCGAATTCATGTCCAATTTTTGACCTTAACTTGGTTGCTGGGCTGTCCACATATCGGTAGCATTTCTGGGAAAACAAATAAGCGTTAAAAAAAAAGTCCACTTTTGGTCCGCTTTGGCATTTGTTTCTCTTCTGCCAAATTTTACCTCAAATATGTAGTATTTTGCTTTGTGAGGCTTTGTGAGACTCTCAAGGTTGATTTTTATGGGGAAAAGAGGTTATCCCTCAGTTGTCCTCCAGTTTTCCAGACAAGTATCCAAACATAGAATCTGGTATTTACTATTGTGAATGAGGAAAGACTGTCACCAAAAGAAAACAGTGACTCCCAGAAACGTCGTCTGAAAGAGTCTATGAACTGTGTTCCCAAGAGAGTGATGGGTTCGAATCGTCATGTATTTTTCCCTGTCTTTTTATTAGTAAAAGTGAACATAACTTTGTTTTTTCTTTTTCTTTTTAGCAAATTATGCACTGCGCCAGTGAGTACGACCTAGGTCTAGACATAAGGACGGCTGCTTATACTGTGTCCATGGAAAAGTCAACACATACACTGTGACTGATTTCGCATTTACATAATCCTCCTGAGAACATATGACAAATGATGAATTCTTAGATAACTTTTCATTGAGCTGAATGTATCACTTGAGCTAGTTTGAGCGTACGATACTTTTTGCATAACAGCGTCTTCACCAGCCGTCATTGTTGACGATGATTGTGTTATTGTTGTAAACGAGATAAATGAATGATTTTCCTGAATTCCAAACGTTCAGAAGCTGTCGCTCATACGAACTGCGACTCTTATATATAATTGAATTTACCGTGATATAAATAGACAGTAAAATGACAAAATGCGAAACCCTTACATCAATAAATAACTGAGAGCTCATTTCTTTTAATGAGCCCGGTTATGTTACCATTAATTTTCTCAATTAAAAACCGTAGAGCTTTTAGCCACCTAACTGTCTCTCTCTCTCCCACTTGTGCTGAGCATGCGCACTCATTTTGCCTCTGTGTCATATCTGAGTAGTTTCCCAGGAATTCAGTTGCGTGACTTTAAAAAGTAAACGCTCATAGTTAGGTCTCGTCACTGCCATGTTGTATAGATTGTACAGAATCTTAAGAAAGAGAGCCTTCCGCAAGACAAGAAGAGAAGCGGTATTGGCATAGATTTAAAATGTTCACCACAGCATATAATAGTTTGCTCTTCGAAACAAGCGAAAGGATCGACGGACTAAATGCATTCTAACGTCTTATTTTATTTGCCGCGGGAAGCTAGCCCAGTCTGGCAGTGGAAACGTACACGACGCACTGTCATTGTTTAAAGAAGTAGAAGAACACGGTTATCTAGGTGTTGATCGCCTCAAACTAATGAAAGAGCTGTTGAAAAGTGTTAAGGAATGGTCTCTGTTTGGAAAAAATTAAAAAATTCGATAATAAGCGAAAAGAATACAAAGGCTTGCTTGAAAAGATCATCTGTGCATTGGACTAACTCAATGATATGGAACGGCTGATCACACTATGTAGAGGAAATATTCGTGAAGGCAACATTGGTAACATTGTGGATGTTTGAAGAGCTAGAAAATCAGAAAACTCTGGGAATCGTTTATATAACATAGTATCTATAAAAGAAAAGAAACTAATTTAAAAACTTCTGAAACTACAGAAATCAAGAATGGTGTACATCACCTTGCAAGCGGCCGGACCCTTTCTTGTGGTGATGGTCAACAAGATCTTACTTTATTCTCCTGATAGAGTATGAAAAGCCCTTTGTAACTATGCCTCTTTTGTCTTTTACAAACTATTCAGCCAGAGCCTAGAGAGGAAATATTATGTTTACACCACGCTCTGCTTTGCTTTTTGGGCACTAAAGCGATACCAAATGTGAGACTATTTTTTTTTCTTTTGTTGACGCATCACAGTCTAAAAGTCTGAGAGTTTCTTTATTGTTTTTTCTTGTTCAAATTTGTTTCATCCACTTAGATCTCAAACTTACACAAATTACGTGACCTTTACAGATATTTTGCATTGAATTAGCTAAATATCGATTGATAGCTACGTTGTGCCCGTTATTATCTTCACCAGCAGACAACTGAGTGTTTGTTGCAGCTTATATTCAGATTCGAAGAAACAAATTGCGATTTCTTTATACGTGGAGCAAACTGGTTTATTTGATTAAATCGAGTAGTATTCTGAATGACAATCCCTAATCCAAACGCTTTCGTGGCAGAAAACCGAAATTTTATGAGGGGAGCATGACGTAACATCCTGAAGCGCACTTGCGAAACTGAGTTAAGATAAATGCTAACTAGAGCTGATGTTACGTTGTACGTGGATGTTAAAATCTAGGACAAAGAAGCCTATTCCAACCTTGACCCCTGATGCAAATAGGAAGGGAAGGGAAGTTTTAGCTGTTACACATCTCAATGGACAAAAACTGGGCCAAAATATACCTCTGTGATCATATTACTCCCCACTGAGCAAACCTTGGCCTTCTTAATTCAACACATTTTATAATTAAGTTTTGATATAACGCAAGTCTTCATTGGTTGAAACAGCGTGCTCTATCAGAACATAGAACATAGAGCAAGAGAGCTTAAGGTGTCACGCCATCTACTAAATTGCACTATGTCCAACCATTTCCCAGATTTCTCTCTAGCTTTTTTTTTCATTCATTGAAAGTGAAATTTCGGAACAAGCCAGCCGGCAAGTAGCAACAGAAGAACCAAAACAAAGGTTTGTAAACATGCCAAGCGCCGTAATTTACGTTATTACATCATGAGCAGAGACGAAAATCCCTAGATAGAAAAGAAATGGACAGTCCGAGTTTGAAGGTTTTCTTTAGTAAGGTTGCAAGCTTAAGTACGCTAATAAACATCAAACACAGCTAACTCTCGTATAGTATATAAAATTTTGTGTTCAGAAACAAAACAGAACAAAACAGGAATGGCGAAAATATCGCCAAACTAGCATAACTATTAAATTCATACTAATCATAACGGAGTGAGAGCGACTGCGACTGTGCTGGGGTCCATCGCGGCTAGCTCATCATCGCGATCTCCGGTCAACGTAGTAAAGGAAGCCTCAGAAATTACATTGGCCGCCCTTCGAGTAAACAACTGAGAGCTTGCTCTGATATCCTTTCTGATGGGTTGAGTGCAGGCGAGTTTTACAGCGCTGTCATCCCAAGCAATCTTCATCTTCATGTGGATTCGGCTGTCATTAATTGATAAAACACACGCCTTGAGCAGTTTGTTTTCTAATTGTCTTGTGAAAAAACTTCCGTTTTCATGAGTCACAATTCAGCTGGATTTCATTAAACATTTCGCTTTCAGGTTCTGTATTAGAGCCGATAAAAACTTCAGGCAAAAGTGTTAAACTCGACCTGCCGAACTATTTCAGTTTGTAGACTATTGCAGATTGTGAACTTTGATGGTTTGACATTTTTGACAGCTTTAGTCTTATTCAATCAATCAGATTATTTGAACCATTCTTACAAGGATTCTGATAAGCTTATTGTAGCGTGCTTTATGAGAGTATAGAGCATGCTGAGGATATTGTTATTCGCTTTGAAAATAAAGTTTGTTTTGAAAATTGAGATTAATGTGTGGGGAATTTAACGGATTCTTTATTATAAAACAAACACAGAGGCCTTGACTGCGCTCTGTTCTGTTGTAAGGCACTTAGGGAGCAGCTAGAGTACGCAAGAAGTGGGAAGAAACACTCGATTACTTTTGCGTTTCCTCCTACACTTCTTTCGTGCTCTAGCCGATTCTTGCATGCTTTACAACAAACAGAGCACAGTCGAGGCTTCTCTTTTTATCAAATAAGATTATACTCGCCAACTATAGTGGGATTGCATAGTAAAAACACCCATCAAATCTCAATCTATCCCTTCTATTTGAGCAACATAACTATGCTACTCAAGGTCTGTCCTTACAAGATCTGAATTCAAGTCTTTCAGAATAATTATTTGAAAATTTGGCTTAATGTTAGTGGATGCTATTACATAATTTCGAGTGCAATTTGGAATAAATAAGCACGAGTAAGTTTTTTCAAAGACTTACAAAATTGCACGAGCCCGTAGGGCGAGTGCAATTTGTGGTCTTTGAAAAAAATTAGCAAGTGCTTATTTATTCCAAATTGCACGAGAAAAGTCATGTGATTACGTATATACATTTAAAATGTACATCAAAAAATACGAGATAGCTTGTCATAATTATGCAGAAGCAAAGCAAGTGCATCAAGTGCAAAAATAATTGATTCAAATCGTGCGTTCGGTCAAAACAACCGCGTACGATAAAAACAATAATATACAAATCTTTTCACATCTTTAAAGCGCAAAGAAGTTCGAAGTCCGGCTCAAAAGTTTAAGGAATTGTTCAGTCTGTGTCCGAATCACTTTCGATGAAATGGAATCGTCGTTTGCAAGGTTTAATCATGTTTGTTTTTAATTTCGGCGTAGAATTGCTCGAGCAAAGTGTTAAGCTAGGTCGGTTCGTAATTTTTGATTTCCTTGGCAATTCCCTTTTCTAAACATCACTTTTTTCAAATCGACAACCAAAAAGCAGTGCTTTTTATGGTGTTTGCGTTGTTAGAGCTGTTTTTTAGCTGCTGTATTGTTGTTGCGGTGGTGAAAGAAAACCTACTAAAAATTCCGACCATTGTTTCGCTCGCAAATTTTCAGCGTATCCGAATGTTGCAACATCCAAGGCTCGCATTTGATTGACTATCTGTGAGTTTCTTTGATTATTGACCAATCAGAATGTCTGGTTTGTTACTTCTTTGCACTGAATTAACCCTCTTCTGCACTGAATTACCTAAAAACTGAATTTATCTCAACCCATCAAACAGAGTAATTTTTTTCATGTATATCTTTAATCATAGAAATTACAATTTTCTCGATAGTGATTGGTGAAAAAACTCCTATTTTCCACTAATCCACCCGCCACGTTGTTACCAGACCGTTTGTTAGTGGACAGTTTGTTATTGGACAATTTGTTAACAAACAGTTTGTTATCTGACAGTTTCTTATCAGACAGTTCAATAGGCCAATCGCTTTCTAAGTTGTGGTTCGAATCAACCAATCACATTCAAATTTGTAGGTTAAATCAACTAATCACAACCATCACACAATTTGCGCCTCCTTTGTTGGTCTTTGGATGCAAATTTTCTCTTTCTTTCATAACTTGTTTATTCTGTTCTAAAAAATTGTAATTTTTATGATTAATTGGTAAGAAGACTTTTTGATATCCAATTTCGGTCTGTAAGGGTACTTGTGATAAACAAATTGGACTCTTATTGTGCGGTTGTCTGAATTTTGTCATCACTCGCATGATTACAGACTGAATTGGACTCCGCTCAGCCTTATTACCATTACTTTTTTTACGCTCTTTTCCTTAGTATATGTAACTATATTGTATCTCATAAAATAAAATAGAAATGACTGTATAAAACAGTAAAAATACTGAATAGATGGGTTAAAATTTGTTCCCAGGGTATTATCTCTTCCCATTTCTTAAATATAGAGATGTGTGAATTAATGAACTGGCAAGTCAT